ATATAACTTACTGAGAAAATCACTGTCTCAACTTATTAAAGGTCCACCCTCTACTAAATTTCCATTTATAAAAAATATTATACATAGGACCTCCTAAGACCCTCATGTTGAGGGTATTTTACACCAGTTGTCCTTGTGTGTTTATGTTTTAAACTCCTCAAAACCATTGTTGGTTTTTATGTTTCTGAGGTTCTACTAATTCCAAATATTTAGGGTAAAGTAAAGATGCTGGTGCTCAAAGGAATAAAATTGTCCAGCCAAAAGAGGAGCACTAAATTTTTAGGTGGCCACTGCTTTAATTCTTGTGCTCAGTTAAACTACAGCAGCCTTATTTTCACTCAGAGGACATTATAGTTTTAAGTCCTCTCTTTTACTCTCAAGAAGATAGCTAATGTTAGGGTTTTATGGCATTTTGTTGTTTTTATTGCGTCCTTTCAAAGTAATTTTAGTTACTGTCTGCTCTCAGGAAATAGTCTCTGTGGGGGTCATCAGGTCAGCTAACAACAAAGGTCCATGATCTGCTTTTAATAACATAACATAACATAACATAACATAACATAGCATAGCATAGCATAGCATAACATAACACAATATAACGTAACGTAACGTAATGTAGCGTAGCGTAGTGTAGCATAGCATAGCATAGCATAACATAACATAACATAACATAGCATAGCATAACATAACACAATATAACGTAACGTAACGTAGCGTAGCATAGCATAGCATAGCATAGCATAGCATAGCATAGCATAACATAACATAACACAACGTAACGTAGCATAGCATAACATAACACAATATAACGTAACGTAACATATAACATATAACATAACATGAGCTAAATATACCACAGTATACCTTCAGTATAACTTTATTTTTTTATGCTCTTATTGTGAAGCAGTGATTCTTTCAGCAGCAGTGTGTCAGTACTCATTAACCTAGACAGACCACTGGTTTTCTTTTCTTTATGACCACCTAAATTCCCCTTAATGTGTTTTGCATTGATTTTTTTTAACATTTTTAAATGTAAACACACAAAAATCGACCTTTATGACTCTGCTAGATTCTAGTTCAAGTCCAAACCGAGTTAAGCCTTCCTCCCCAACACCTTTTATCTTCTGACAGATTAACAGAAAAAGGTAAATGTGTAACGGAGCGTTCTGCAAACCTGTCACTTTCTGAACGCCGCGCAGCGATGTTTCAACGTCTGTCTGTTTCCCGCAGGATGAAGAGCCTCATAAACTCAGAGGAGGAAGTGAGAACAGACAAAACGATGCCACAACCGCTGGTATGTTGAAGATGAATTTTAGGATTAGTCAGCATGGAGTTTCACAACCAGACTCAAACAGAAATCTGCCTGGAAACTGAAACATAAAAGCAAAGTGCTCACAAATCAGACTGAAAATGAATCAACTTTTCAACAAGAGTTTCGGCAGAATTGTAGAGTATATTGAGAATAATTTATATATTAAGTAGATAGTTTTTGTGCATATTTTTCACATTTGTAAATTAATTAGTCATGGCAAATCATAAAATCGTGGGTAAATTTACCAACAGAGTCGACAAGGAGTAAAGTCAACAGACCTCTCGTACTTCCTTTTTTCAGCTATAGTGTTGAACGCTGTGAGCTTAAACATGATTCAAACGTTTTTATTTTCATAATCTTCCTGAACACGTTTGGACTTACGCTCCTTTTCAGATTGCATCTTTTTATTTTTTTATGTACCTTTACAGAAACTGAGACCGAGCTGAACGTTGAGGTGGCGTTTTCAGAGCAGGCGCTCTCTTACCGGGATCAAAGGTTAAAGGTCACCAACAACCTCAACTCACCTGATGACAAACTACCAGTGAGTCATTTGCACCAACGTGATCGCTCTGAATTATCCATAACTGCATGGTCTGTGCAAACAAATGCACTGATTTTTTTTYCCTGCAGCTCCAGTTATTTGATCATTGTGGTTGATGATTACCAGAGGCAGCCAAGTGTGTATTTTTAGGTGTTTTATTGTAGTTTTAAAACTTTGAAATCTCAATTACTGTGATTTACAGCTTGGGTTGGGTAGTAGTTTAAAATTGACTTTGTTTTTACATAAATATTATCCCAATAAAGAGCTTTTTAATACTTAAAATAATGATGAAACCTAATTAGTCAGTTTAACAAAAATAATTATTAGCAAAAAGCAGGTTTGTTTGTTTGGTTCGGGAGTTTTTATGGGCTGCAGTGTCACCTAGTGGTTGAAGACGGTAGTGCAAAAAATTTTCCTCTCTACGCTAATGTAAAGATTAATTCATTTTGAGTTTTCACACATGGCATGGCTGAATGTCACATCTTACTCTTTTCTCTGACAGGTAATAAAAGCCCCCTTTAACCTCCCTTTGCTTTATTTTTTTTACCCCTAGAATTTTAAGCTCCTTCAAGATAAAACTGGTCAAACTAAAATAGGAGATCTGTCTCCTCTGGACATGAAAAAGGTATGCAAAATAAAAATGCTGCAACCAAATCCTAACGTTAATAGTTTTTATAATTTTGTGTAAATATTTTCTGGCATGTTGCCATCTGTTAGGTGCTCCGGCTCGTTCTTGTGGAGGTGACGGCGTTGTTCGACACAGCTGGGATCGACCTGAAGCCTCATAAAGCTGTCAAAGTTAAGACTAAAGGTAGAAACGCAGAGAAGACTTAAAAGTCATTTAAAATTCTCAACATTATCATGAGTGTACAAAACATACACTAAAAAGCGTAAAAAATTATTATTATTATTATTATTAAATTATTATTTCACAAGGCTACCCAGCATTATTTGCAGCTCACACATCTCTCTGGGACATGGCAACATTGTATTTGGGTAAAATTATTATCATTCCACATTTGTACCTGTCTCTAAATAAAACGTGCAGATACAGACGTACAGATGTTTATGATATCTGCTGTGTGCGCAATGATCTGTCAGCAGAGCTTGACCAGTCTGTGTGTCAGCTGACCTCTGATGACTGTGGAAAAAATTAAACTCACGGAGCTGCGGCTCATGTGGTGACATTAATGTTGTGATGCCAGGACTAAAAAAACAACAAACAGGTTTAAGTCGATGACGAGTGGCCGCTTTGTCGTTAGTTTAAAAAAACATGTTCAAAATAAAGAGGATCGCTGAAATGAGCTCATTCAAAATGTTCAGTGACATGAGGGAGGGGCCATTCACACATGAATGTGTTGCGCTCCGCTGGACTTGCTTAATTTATTAAAACTTCATTAAAAAAAAGAGGTTGAAGACTTTGACCTGCCTCTTTAAGGAAACCCAAAAACAAGAAGGGAAAGTGTCAAACAAATCCATACCTTCTCTGTGAAACGGTAAAAGTACCTCAAATTAGATGATTTTCTATCTATTTGTTTTGTTTTTATGTGTGTGAGCAGAAAGCGGTCTGTTTGGCGTTCCTCTTACCACTTTGTTAGACCAAGACCAGAGGCGAGCTCCTGGAACCAAAGTGCCATTTATCYTGCAGAGGGTGAGGTTCCCAGTCAGTCACATGTCAGACTTAGGGAGAAATTTTAAAACCGATTGTTTTGTTATTGTTGTTGGTTCAGTGTGCATAATCTCAAAATCATCCACTGTCATGATTTTTTTAAGGTTTCTGATCTCGCCTTTATGCTCTGTATTTTATAATCAGCTCATGAATCATATTGAGGAGGAAGGTTTGGACACAGAGGGTCTACTCCGGATCCCTGGAGCAGCCACTAGAGTGAAGGTATTTTCATCCATTGTTGCTGCTTTAATTGTTTTTATAATAACAACACCGTCTCCAACTAAGCTAACCCAGCCTTCACGGTTTTTGTTGTGTATTTGGGAATAACCCAGCTGCTGTGCCAGGAGCTCGAGTCGTCTTTTTATGAAGGGACGTTCCCGTGGAAGCAGCTGAAGCAGCACGATGCTGCTAGCCTTTTGAAGCTGTTCATCAGGGAGCTGCCCCATTCGCTGCTGACTGTGGAGTACCTCAATGCTTTCATTGCTGTGAACAGTGTGTATATGATCTTTAATGTGCGGTGTTCTGTTGGAAACCAGAGCTGAAATCCTGATCTTAGTGTTTTCTGTTGCGTAACGACAGAGTTCCCCACCAAGAAGCAGCAGCTGCAGGCTCTGAACCTGCTGGTTCTCTTGCTCCCCGAGGCCAATCGGGACACTTTGAAGGTAGCAGCTCGCTGCAAAAGCACCTCGTTTTYGTGTTTATTTATATAATTATACGTAATTCCTGAGCATTTTTGTTGTAAACGTCACTTCACAGGCCCTGGTGGAGTTTTTCCAGCGTGTGATCGATCATCAAGCCAACAATAAGATGACTTTGAACAATGTTTCCGTGGTCATGGCGCCCAACATCTTCATGTTCAAAGGCTTTCGGTCGAAGGTGACGGAGCAGCAGGAGTTCTCCATGGCGACCAACACGGCCAACATCGTCCGGCTGCTGATCAGATACCAGCGTATTCTGTGGAACGTAAGACTCCAAAAGCTTCAGACGCGAACCGTGAACACGCGACGACGACATGACTTTTAACGGGACCTGCTCTCTGTTGAATCTGTCATCTAGATCCCCAAGTTCATTTTGAATCAGGTCCGGCAGCAAAACATGGAGAGTCAGAGGAAACAGAATAAAGAACGGGCGGTGCTGAAGCTGCTGAAGAAAATGACCACCGACAAACCGTCTGAGAAAACTATCCCTGAGGTAAAACATTAATGTCTTGGGTACCACTCTACAATAAGACTCCCCTTATAGATGACTTATAAAGAGTTTATAGATAGGTTATTAATTCATCTATAAACACTTCATAAATCATTATTAAATGTTTATTATGCAATAATTAAAGAAGAGAGAGAGAGAAAACTGTCCAGTTTCTTACCAAATAATGAGACAAATCTGTTCATGTGCGTATCATATCTAAAGGTGCTTATTAAACATTTCATACTAGGTTACTACATTGTAAGTACAATAATGGTAAGAAACACATATTTTACTATATTAATATTGTACTGCATTATAAATATTCACAACTGTCAAAGGGAGACTTATCGTAAAAGGTAATACAGAACACTATTTGTTAATGACAAATAAACATTTATAAATGCCAAAAGTTAGTCTTTAATGTGAGAAAATCATTTTTAAAACTTTGTGTTGATTATCAATATTTGAAATTATTGTTTAAACATGTAACTACTGTTAACAAGGATGATGTATCAAAAAAAGTACAAAATGTCATGTTAACACACCAAATATTCCCACCCCATCCAAAATAGTGTACCGTTTTACATTTTACAATAAGGATCCCTTTAATATTTATGGATATTTATAATGCAGTTATACAGTACAATGTTATATGTTAAAATATGTGTTTCCTAATCATTATTATGCTTACAAGGTAAAGTAGTTTGAAATGTTTAATACCCAAACCGATTTGGCTTAGTATTTGGAAAGAAACCGGACAGTTTAGTCTCTTTTTTGACTTTAATTAATGCATAATAAACACTTATTAATAATTTATAAAGTGTTTACAGATGAATTAATAAGATATAAACTCTTTAAAAGCCATCTATAAGAGGAGCCTTATTGTAACGTGGTACCACTTCTTGATCTCTTAGTGGTCTGTAGCTTTGTATTTGGAGAAAATACAGATTGTAGAAGTTACAGCTTTGTGTAAAATGTAGATTAATAAGACTGATTTCTTATTTATATTAAAAAAAAATAACAAGCAAGCCAAAAAAGCATCTGATTTACAGTCTGTCTGTTGTTTTATTGTTATTTGGTTGATCAGTAACAGAATAATTATAAAGTCATCCCCCCAACTGTTTGAAACATTACTATTACACAGAAATGGTTGTTTGTCTTGGCTTGTAACAGTAACACTAGATTTTTCTCTGTGAGCCCAAAGTTTCAGTTGAGTTTATTAAACAGAAGCAAATTTGTTTATTCAAGTCACATTTTTACTTGCTCAAAGTGCACATTAACATAAGTCCATTCGGACAGTGTTTAGGGTCGGCCTTAAATTGCTGAAGTGTTTATGGAAAAGTGATCCACAGCATGTTTGTCTTATTGGATTCCGCAGGTCTTTGCTTACGACCAGGAGAACTCGCAGGGGTTCATTCGAGTTCAAGCCCCACAGTTCAGTAAAGTTTCCATGGCTGTTCAACTGACAGAAGAATTGCAGGCTGCTGACGTGTTAACTCGCTTCCTCAGCCAAGACAGGTAATATCTGCACGCCCAGGTGCTTTTCGCCCTACAGCCTTAATTCCAACGAAGTTGAGTCGTTGTGTAAAACATAAGTAAAAGCAGAATATGATGATTTGCAAATCTTTTTCCACGACGAGATATTTAATGTTCAAACAGATATATTTTGTTGTTTTTGTGCGTATATTCACTCATTATCACGTTCCAAAAAAAACTCACAAAAGTCCATCCTTGCTTGTGAATGACTGAGCCTTTCTGGGATGCTCCCTTTATACCCAATCATGACACTCACCTGTTTCCAATTAACCTGTTTGTCCTCGCAGTTCAGTGGCAATAAAGAAAGAAGACCTGTGTCTTTATGAGATGGGTGGAAACATCAGTAAGTCCTCATAGCGACACAATATGATGGAAGTTTAAGAAAAGCATCTGTTGTTACCTTTCTGTGTCTTCTTCTAGAGGAGAGATGCCTCGATGGAGAAACATACATGAAAGACCTTTTCCAGCTGAACCCGACRGCAGAGTGGGTCATTAAAACCATTCAGCGATAAAACTCTAGAAACATGTTGGATCCAACTCTGAGTCCTGCTGAGGCCACATGACAGCTAGTTCTCTGTAATTTTTGGATACRTTTGGACCTTTTTTTTTTTAACATGTAGCAGAAGATTACTTGTTCCTGACATCAATCCAAGTCCAGTGGCAGTTTAAGAAGTTATAAAAACTTTACTAAAATGGAAGGAAATTATTCCCACATTTAGTCTATAAGCTGTCGATGTGCTGCTAAATCAAATTTTGAGCATCAAATACCACTTAACTGAAGAATGTAAAAGTTCATTAAACTTAAACCACTTTGTAAAAGCTTGTTTTTAATCCATATCCACTGGTGGGGGAAAAAATCCAGCTTGTTTCTGTACTGTGATTTATTGCTTTTTTTTACTTTAACATGTTTGCAGTAAATAGATTACAAGGATGCTGTTGTGCAATAATTTTTAAGGACTGCAGAATAGCCAGAGCACGCTATGACGACATTTTAGGTACAATTCATCCATTGTACATTTAGTTTTTCAAAATGGATGTTTGAGTGTGTTTAATATGAGAATCATGTAGAAAAATCAGTTTGACACTTCTGCACAGATTATAATCCACACAGTTTTACACGTGCTACAATAGTGTGTGTGCAGGTTCACGTAGAATAAATGAAATTGACAGTTTTGTTTTGTACCAAAGACTAGATTGTTTTAATGATGAGTTGATAAGTGCACATTTTAAACTGATAATCTGCTGTTTTTTAAATGGTCCTATAACATGATACATTTGCACACACAGTGTCTTAAATATTTTTAATTTAACTGATGGCAGATGCTGTACAAGTACATTAATAAAACCTGCTTTATGCCAGTAAAAGACATTTTTGCTCACTGGCACTTGTTTTCAACAAAGCTTTTACAACAGCTTGCTGAGGAYAATACAATATATCTGCACTGAAAAGTCATACTTCACAAATGTTTCTGCTCTGGAAAAGCTTAAATATYTGATTATTTGTAATATTCAAACACTGTCACTCCATCTTGTTTTAAGTTCACTTTGATTTTACAAAAGGAAAGAAAAATCTGTTGTTGCCTTTTAATAAATGACCACTGACTGTTAATAAACCTGCTGTTATTAATTACATGTTCTGGTATGAGTTAAACGTTTGAAAATGTGTATTTGTACTAATCTGTTTCATTTTTTATAGGTCAGTTTGACAGAATGAGAAAAACTGGTTTATATAATAACTTGCAGTCAGTTCAAACATTGCATGAAGAGTAATTTAGTATCTTACTGCTTATTCAGTGGCTCCAAACAAAACAGTCTTCTGCCACAACATTTAGTTTGTCAGATTTGTAGTTAAATCTTGTTAAATGTTTACACCAGTGGATAATATCGCATCAATGGTACTTTATTAAATCCATTGGTTAGAACTTTTTTGTTGCTAAATTTAAGCTAAATATTAAAAAGTAGCAAGATCTGTTGTTATAAGTAGTAAAGTATAAATTTCAACTTCTTGGCACAAAACAGAGAAAACTAAAGAAAAAAGCATGACTTGCAGCGTCATAGTATTCAGAATTCATAAATTTTTGTTTATAAGGTGTTAAAAGTGTGTGCTGTCTGAATAAAATAAAGGTTGTTATATCCCAATTAAAATAGCTGATTAATTAAGATAGATGATTATGTGTTTATTTATCCAATGCACATAGTTTAAGTGTCTTAATATGCAAACTTTACTTGTAGATGATACTTATAAATTTTATGGTTATAGAAATCTGATGTAACTGAAAATTATACGTCCGTCTTTACGTGTTTTGGCGTCGTGGACACGCCCACCACCAGGAAATATAATTGTGTATTCTGCTGATTGGCTGACAGATCTTTGGTGTTGTCTGATTGGCTGCTGTCCCTCTACGCGAGCTCTGATTGGTGAAATTTCTAGAAGTGTCTATGAGAAAGAGGTTATGGGTAGCTACGTCAGATAATATGTGTGTAATATGTGAGTCAAATTGTGTTTCCGAAGTCTGTTGTATAGTTCGGATGTTGTAGGATATCCGTGGGACTTCACAGTTTGTTTAGAGACTAATACGTTGCATCTCGGGCAGATATTTGCGGTTTTGTTAAGGTTTTAAGTGGTTGTCTAAAACTAGCATGTTAGCTTAGCGTCGCACCAGCTGTACTACTCTACTGGAATTTCTTTGCTTGTCTGTTTTCTAAGGTGACTAAAATTAACAGCGTCGTTTTGGTTTGGCAGGTTTTTGTTTATTCAGTTTTTTTCTCATGAGGTGACTCGGCTGTCACTGAATGTGTGGTGACAGAAATAGCTGCAGCTAGCAGATGGTTAGCTTGTCAATAATGGGCTGCACGAGAGGCTTAAAGACAGCTCGAGCGCTTTATTTTGTGGCCATTCTTCTCATAGTTTCTGTCAAAGGACTAACAGCTGGTGAGTATAATCTGTGTGTGAATGTGTTCTACCTGCACAGCGACCAGTTGCTGCAAGCAGCTGTTCGCCAGTAGCTTTGTTAACCTAATATCTACTGCTTTGTTGTTATTTTTTTAGCTGAAGATCAACTCCAAAACGACGGATCAGAGTTAAAGGTGCGCCATATCATGTTTTATGGTCTATTACACTCTTCAAACCGGAAGTTATTAGTACAGTATGCTATCTTAAGATCTTTATTTTCTGTTGTTTGCTATGCAATGCTATTCCTATTGCTTGTAGTTTTCAGTTATGTACTTGCTAAACAGAAAAGCTGCAAAATACTGGAAAACCCTAAACCTTTTAAGTAAAAATAAATGCAAATTTGTAGTCATCTAGAGGTAGCTTTATTAGAAAATATTCAGTAACAAATCCCCTCTCCACAAGTGTGTTGAAAGGAAATTTGCAAGGGAGAGAAGCTGCGAAACTTTTAAAGAAATGGGGCAAAAATACACCAGATGACTCGTGACACTGTTGTATTATTACCAACTCTTAAGACAAATTTTGGTAGTTTTTTGGTACTGATTAAAAACAAACAAACAAACAGAATAGTTGGTAATGTTTGAGTTGCAACAAGAGAATTAATTTTTTTGTTGTAGAGGACTTTATATGTATAAACGTAATTCTGTTGTAATTATAATTTAACTTGTGACCCACAGTCTGTGATTAGTAACAAACATCAGGTTTTTATGTTTGAATAAATAATTGTTTGGTTACAAAATCTCTTATGTTTGCATTTTTTATAATATCCTGTTCCTTTTTAGTCTTACCATGATCCAGAGTCTGAGGAGGAAGACGACCGTGTTACATCAAACATCGGAGCTTCTGTGACTTATCGTCATGAAGCCTCTCCAACAGAAGAGGAGAAACAGTCACCTGAAGCGGGAGAGGACAAGGAGGAGCTGCCTGAACAGCCACCTCCTCCAGAGGAGAAACCAAAAGAAGGTATGTTTTTAGTTTTATTTGTTGCCAAGAAAAAAAAAAMCCCCGCAAATTACGTTTTTTTACTTTTTACGATTAATGATTTATTGCAGAAAGTGGAACATTATTCACCACAGGATGAATAATTGAAGTTCATAAAACTTTTCATGACAACCCTAAAATGTCATGCTTTCCTATGAAGAAGTGAGATCTTAGTTTTCTGCTGTATTAAAAAAAATAAGACTTTGCATTCTAGTTTCTGAAGTGGTTAGAAAAATTGACACATTTTAGTGTCTTGGGTCTGACATTTAAAAGCATGAAGAGCATTTTATAAAACCTACATGAATCAGCTGCAATCATCTGTCAAGAGAAATTTCTCTCCAGTGTGGATGTTTTACTCTGCAAAATAATTTCTTCAATTATTTGTTTATTTATTTTTTTTAAAACTTTGAGTATTAATATGCTAGTCTACTTGTTTGCCAACTCTAAACAAAGTGGTTCCATGAGGGTTCTAGTTTAGGTAAATGATTTAATCCCATGAGAGAGTATCAGYATCTTGCACCTGTGGCCTTCATTGCAGTCAGTTACATCATTTTTGTTCTGTACACGTGCTGTTGTTGTATTAGGGGAAAAATTAATCCAACTGCACAAGATTTAGGGCTGCTACGATTAATCGATAACTAATCGATTGTTAAAATAATTGATGACTAATTAATCGATTACTTTTTTTTTTGTTCTTTACTTTGTTTTTCTCTCCAAACTGCTTTGACACCTTCCACTGCCACATCTGCCTTTCTGTCCTTGACACACATGCACAGTAGTGGTAACTGAGGTAGGCTGTGGACGTCACAAGTAGGGCTGCACCGATTAGTTGAAATAATCGATGATGTCGATTATGTAAATTTGTTGACGCAGATTTTTTATTATCGATTCGCTGTATTATATAAGCACCACGTGAATGTTCATGAAATTCCATTTTGGTACCTAAAAGCATCATTGTGACCATATTGGCATAAGAGTGGTGAGTTTTTCATGCTTGTCCTGAACGCAGCATCGCGCAAGAACGTAATGATGTCAGCAGCTGCTGCTTCAGTTCAGTCTGCAGCTTGAAAACATCCTCGCAGCTCCTGGAGTAAAATTTACCGAACAGACCGCCTCTGAATTATCTGGTGGATTAATTATCTTGTGAACACGACGTTCGCTTGCTCAAAGTAAATAAAGTACCGCCACTTTCTTTATTTCATCCACCATTAAACAGAGAGCGGTGTTAGGTCGAGCCACGTTCCCCCATCAGACGGTTCCCCCAGCGTCTCAAACAACAGAGGAGCTTCCCGACACACGTCTGACCTAAAGAGCACAAGCAGCCAACAAGTGTTGGACGTGTTCTGGATGTTCAAAACGTAGTTTAAATAACTTTTATTTATTTTAACTGCATCCTCTTTTGTTTATTTGATTTAAACTTGTTTGCCTTCCATGGACCTCCATCACACATTTTTCTAGTGGGGAAATGACATCAATAGAAACACGTGGAGCTGGATTTTAATTTGTGTAATAAGACAAAACAATCATTAGATTAATCGATTAGAAATTAATCGTTTGGTACAGCACTAAGATTTAATTTTGATATTCTAAACCTGAGCTCGTCCTGTGGGAAAAAAAAATCACTTTTAATATAGTTTATTATTTTATAGACATATTTTTTCCTTCTATGTATTCACAATGTTCAGTTCCTTTGGTGAACGGAGGCACGTCGCATGGAGAGCCTTGTGTTTTCCCGTTTGTGTTCCGGGACAAGGAGTACTCGGACTGCACCACTGACGGACGGGGGGATGGACGGCTGTGGTGTGCCACAACCTACAACTATGATCAGGATAAGAAGTGGGGCTTCTGTGAGAGTAAGTCTTCCTTCTCTGATCTTATCCTTTATAAAACTGAACCCTTCTTTAAAGTGCCCGTGACACCACATTTTTGTAGTAAACATGAATGCATTTTTAGAACGATAACATATTGCAAAACAAAATTCACGGTGCTGAGATGAACAGTTGCTGAGATATTCACACGTGCAGTAACACAGGAAGTGATGTCAAAGGGGAATTTCTACAGGTTAACGGATCACAGCTACAATAACTAACAACTCAGACTGTAGAGAAAAATCTGATGTTTCTTTTCGATTAGTTTGAGTCACTATCAGAGAGATGAAGAAGAGTCATGCTTCAAATAATGTTTTAATAAACAAAGACCAGACAGTTCCTTTTCTTAAAGAATTCCCCTTTGATGTCACTTCCTGTTTCACTTTGACTGAGCCTAGCTCAAAAGGAAATATGCCAGTTATGTGACAAAAAGATAAAATCATGTAAATTACATCAAGTTTCTTTAATATGAAGCTGTTTTCTCTGACTTTTTGCATTTGAAGGTCACAAGTACTTTAAGACAGATGTGATAACAAAATGTAAATTAAAAGTTGAAGAAATAGAGCAGAATTCTGATGGTTCATCTTATTAAATGTATGAAGTTATGGGGTAATTGCTTGTATTTTAAGCGGTGTTGAGTATACTTATGAGTCTCATTCATCAGTCATGATACTTGAGAGAGCCGGGCAAACAAGAGTTTAAGTTTCAGAACTCCAGGTGACAGAAACCAGCCGAGCAGATGGTTTCGTCAGCCAGTGTTGTGAAACTTTATTTTTTTTCTTTCTAAAGCTTCTTTGTGGCTTCTTCTGTTTGTTTCAGCGGAGGAGCAGGCCGAGCAGAGGCTACAGGCTGAAGAGGCTGAGAAGCAGTATCAGACGGTTGTGCACATGCTCAATGTCTCCACCAGGAAGACTCAGAAAAAAGAGTCAGTTTCTCTCTTTAAGTGTATTTCCGTGATCGTGACTTTGCTGTTTAATAAAACTGCCTGTATCATTTCTGCTTTGATACAAACWGCTGCTGCCCGTGCGGCTTCACATCCTTATTTGTTTTATACCGCACCATAGCATGTCATGTGCACACAATATTATTATCGCATGTTTTTGTCTGGCTCCGTCTGAGTCGTCGCTGCTTCTCTGACTTCTCTCAGGTTGTACGAAAAGCTGCTGAAGGTGGCAGAGAAAGGCCACCAGAAAGCCACAGAGAARGTGGCGTACGCCATGCTGTTCGGAGACTACATAAACCAAAATGTCACAAAAGCCAGAGAAATGTTTGAGAAGCTTGCCGTGGAGGGCTCGCCTAAAGCTCAGATGGTAAAGACTTGCCCCTGGATTTATTTCTATCACTTTCTAAGAAGGTGAATAAGCAGATGTTAAGTGTAAAAATATATTGTTTTTCCCCCTCAGGCTCTTGGCTTTCTGTACGCAGCAGGACTTGGAGTTAACTCAAGTCAAGCTAAGGTGCTTCCTTTATTTTTCATCTCTCTCTTGCAGCAAATTTAGTTTTTTGTACTTTAACACTCGTGTTGTTTKTCAGGCCTTAGTTTATTACACCTTCGGTGCTTTGGGAGGAAACCTAATAGCTCACATGATTCTGGTGAGTTCACATAATTGCACCATCAACAGACATGTTGTTTCCACATTATCAATATGACTTCCTATATTTTAATATTTTTATTAGGGGTACAGATACTGGGCAGGTGTGGGCGTTCCTCAAAGTTGCGAGTCAGCACTAACTCATTATAGACTTGTTGCAAATCATGGTAAGCTGTTCTTTTTTTTTATTTATTATATATTTTTTGGGGGCGAAACATTTTTGTGCTTGCTGGAAAAATACCCTGATTTTAGAAAAACTCATTTTAATTTGTTGAGGGTTTTTTTTTGTCACCTTTAGTGGCCAGTGACGTGTCCCTAACGGGAGGCTCAGCAGTGCAGAGGATCAGGCTGCTGGATGAGGTGGAAAACCCCGGTTCCACCAGTGGGATGTTGGAGGAGGACCTCATCCAGTATTACCAGTTTCTGGCTGAGAAAGGAGACGTCCAAGCTCAGGTAAGGTGGTTTGCAGAGTCCTTCATGTTTTTGTCTCACCAGTGTTTCCCCTATGTTTGTATAAGGAGGGTGACCCGCCCCCCAACAGAACTGGACACCCCACCTAACAACCAGTTGAAGGGTTATATTAATTATGAGAGTAAATTGTGACCTTTTATTTTTCTTGCTACCACATGTCGAAGTAACTGGAGAACTCTCTGCTCCAGACCAGCAAGAAAGGAGGAAAAGTTCATTTAAGAAAAGTCAATATTTTCTCGTATATAACTGAAATGTGTCGTGGCCATGGGAACTTCTTCCTCCCTTCTGCTAACCGTCCCACGTAGCATAATTGTATTTTTCTCACTGGACTTGTTTTTTTTTTCTTGTTAACTGCAGAGAAGGAAAGAAGACATAAATTTCTCCCTAGTCCATGTTGCTAATTTAACAATCAACTTCTGCTCAGGGAGCGCAGCAGACTATTTCCAGCCACATGCGTTAGCTCACGTGTATGGCAGGCCTTTTTAACATTTAATCGGCTTCACCACACTCGCATTCCAGATATCTGAAACTGGTTTATGACTAGACATATTAGTTATTTACGTGATGTATGATTCAACTAGTACAAATGAAATTACAGATGTTTTCATTCTCTGTGATTTTTATTTAAAACAAGCTGCACACTTTTTATTTTTTATTTTTAACAAATGCTAGTATTATTTCTGTTGTTGATCGTCTTTGTGTGCTCACCCAACCAAACCCACAAGACAAATGCTGTAGGGGAAACGCTGCACACTTTTGTGTTATTCAATATGACATCTGTGTAATTGCTTAAAGAGGAAGCAGTTTGAGTTAATTAAAAATATAAACTTACCGGTATATATAAATTTGTATTTGGTAGAATATTTCTTTGTTGTAGYAATGTTTCTTATACTGTTACACCGTTGGAAAGTGTTACGGCCCTATAGTTTCTCTGCTGTCTTATTTCCTTGCAGGGTTTGGAGTTGCAGCTGCAGGTGCTGTTGGTTGGCTTGATTGCTGCTTAAAAGCTGCCACTCAGCTGCCTGTTAATTTCCCTTTTTAAATAGTGCCACATTTGTAAGGAGCATGCATTTGTGGGATGAATATGTGGCTTGTACACAGGAAAAAATAGTCAAATCTCCTCTGCCAAACAGCTTATTYCGCTGTTGCTTATTGACCCTTGTTTTGAGCTCCTGGTACCCCCAGGTGCTGCCAACCACGTGTCCAGTAAAATATTTATTGCCAAGACAACAAAGAAATAATCTACCAAACATAAATTTCCTTACTTTTTTTTACCAAATGTATTTTATTCTTTATATTCATACTTTTGTCCAATTACGCGAGTAAACACAATATTTATCCGTTATTCTGATGTTAGCTATTGCTCAGATTTGTCATTCAGACTTATTTCTCTGTTGCCTCCTGTGTTCATTGACAGGTGGGTTTAGGTCAGCTTCACCTGCATGGAGGACGTGGTGTAGAACAGAATCACCAGGTAATCTGGTTTCCCAGCTGTTTGCTCTCACTGGTGTTCTGACGTGGTTTTGTTGTGCTGAAGTTGTCTGTTCTGCGTCCTGTCAAACAGAGGGCATACGACTACTTCACACAGGCTGCAAATGCAGGAAACACACACGCAATGGCTTTCCTTGGCAAGGTGAGTTTGTGTGTGTGTGTGTGTGTGTTGGGGGGGTACTTGTCTCAACAATTTAGTTTCTTGTGCTTCTTGTTTTTTACTTTTTTATTTTTTGAAATGGATTTGTTCTTCATTTGCATTTTTTTATTTTAAGTGGAAATTTGTATTTGAAATTAATTTAATTTAATTTTTTTTTTAATTTTATGGTGTTTTAAAGTGTCACATTTTTTTCTTCTTTAAATGTTTTCTCCTCAGATGTATTCAGAAGGCAGCGAGTTTCTCCCACAGGACAATGAGACAGCCCTACAGTATTTCAAGAAGGCTTCTGATATGGTAAAAATAAGACAAATCTCCTGTGAAAACTTAACTATTTATTTGTATTAATGCTTCTTTTAGCCTTTTTGTTTTGAGTGCTTGAGCTGAAGGTGAATAAATGATTTGCAAATTAAAACTTAGTGTTTTTTATTTTTAGGGTAACCCGGTGGGACAGAGCGGCCTAGGCATGGCTTACTTGTATGGAAGGGGTATCCCAGTGGTAAGGGACTGTTTGACCAAATTTTACCTGAATGAATGCTTGAATTATTGTATGATTTTATTTGGTCACATTAAAGAACACTTCAAACAAAAACAAACAAAAATCGAATCCTATATGAACAAAAAGGGAAGAGGCAGAAGCCAATGACTTGTTGTGCCTCACTTTACTCTTCCTAATGGATTCCCTAAAACACAAAGTGCACAAAAAATGCATAAACAAAAAGAAAAGAAAAAAAGCACCAAACAGATTAATTTTTACAATGTCCTCCCTGAATACACCATTTTATATACACACAAATACAAACCATTATTACCATGCTTAATCAACAATACAAACATACTATTATAATTACATGCAACAAATTTTCACATTACCACCACCATCGTCATCACAGCTAATTTTACTATAAGCTACAACTCATCCTTAGATTACTTTTTAACTTATTTCTAAAACTTAAAAGAGAACCACTTTATAGCTGAAATTTATATTCTTTATTAAAACTGAAGTTAGTGTTCGGAGATTTGTTACGGACTTGGAACAAAAAAAAAAGGAAAATAGGTTTACCTGGACTGTTGAATAAGAAGATAAGATAAGGTAGAGCTTTATTGTCATCGTACAGAGCACAATGAAATTATAGTTCAGAACACCCAWTCAGAAGAAGACAGAACATAACAAATATAGGAGAGCAGGTTGGTCATGCAGCCACAGACCCCCTGCACAGAGCAAGGATCATCTTCATGAAGACATCATGAGGAGGCACAACCCTTAAAAGAAAAAAAAACTAAAAACCACACAAGGAAAGATGAGGAAAAATATTTGTAAATAAATGTCTATAGGAGCACTGAACGTCTTAACAAAAAAAAATTATTATACAGTGCACATTACATCACAGGGTCCAGACACCCTCATCCAGTGCATTTAGAAGCCTAAAGGGCTCGACACACGGGGAGCGACAAACTACAACAATTAATGGCTGTCATCGCAGCCGGGGTGAAACCCGACACACGGGACGCGATAGCGATAGCAGCGTTGCGAATCGTGCTCTCAGGTCGCCAGCTCGTAAGGCATGTGGCGTCAATATTCAGACTCTGGTACCGCCCATCTTTACGATGAATCCGCCCWCTGGAGCTGTTACTAATGGAAAACCACCCGAACCGTGCTGGACAGAGTTGAGCCAAGTCGAACCGTGCTGTGGAGTCAAGTCAACTTTATTTATACAGCACATTTAAAAACAATTCCCATTGGCCAAAGTGCTTCACAAATTGCAAACTAAAAATAAAGCATTGTTGAAAGAACACAAATAATAAAACCATAAAAACAGACCAAATAAATAGGGAAACAACTCTCAAACTACATTAAAAGCTTTCGAAAACAGGTGTGTTTTAAGAAGAGATTTAAAAACTCCAAGAGTTGAGGCCTGTCTGATGTGAAGAGGCAGCTGGTTCCACAGTTTAGGAGCCACAACTGAAAAGGCTCGGTCATCTCTGTGGACCACTCTGGACCGCGGGACAGCCAAGAGCAAATGTTCATTGGATCCAAGAGATCTGGAGGGCACATAGGGCTGCAGGAGGTCAGACAGGTATTCAGGAGCCAGTCCATTCAGAGCCTTATAGGTCATCAGTAAAAGTTTAAAATCARTTCTAAAACAMACAGGGAGCCAATGAAGGGAAGCCAGCACCGGGGAGATATGATCACGCTTCTTCGTCCATGTTAAAAGGCATGCTGCAGCATTCTGAACCAGCTGCAGGCGTGAGAGGCCAGCCTGGCTAACTCCAACATACAGAGAGTTGCAGTAGTCCAGCTGAGATGTAATAAAAGCATGCATCACACATTCAAGGTCTTTGAAAGATAAAAACAATTTGATTTTAGATAAAAGTCTCAGTTTAAAAAATTATCTTTTTACTACAGAATTAATCTGTTTCTCAAAGTTGAAGTTTGAGTCAAAGATCACACCCAAGTTTTTGACATGTGATTTAACAGATGGTTCCAAGGCACCCAGATCCTTAGGAGAAGCACTGCGATTACCACGGGGTCCAAAGATAACAGTTTCAGTTTTGTATTCATTAAAATTTAGAAAGTTTGAAGCCATCCAAGCTTTGACTTCAGTGATGCAATCAAACAATGGTTTTAGTGAAGAATGATTAGGCCTCAACTGAAGGTAGATCWGGGTGTCATCCACGTAGGAGTGAAAAGGGATGTTAAATTTTCTAAAAAGGGAACCTAAGGGGAGCATGTATATGGAGAATAAAATAGGACCAAGGATAGGTCCTTGCTGAAATCCACGTCAGGGGAGCTGAGGAGGAAACATAATTTCCAAGACTCACTGAGAAACTCCTGTCAGACAGATATGACCTGAACCAATCCAGTGGAGGTGTTAGTGAAAAAGGGCTATTAGTTTCTGACTTTATTGTCACTGAAAACTAATGTCAGTCATTTCAAATAATTAGTTTGTTTCTCTTTTAGAACTACGAGTTGGCCCTGAAATACTTCCAGAAAGCAGCAGAGCAGGGCTGGGTGGATGGCCAGCTCCAGCTGGGGACCATGTACTACAGTGAGTGCTGAAGGAAGATGCTTATTGGGGAAACAATGTTTGGCCTGTTCATCTTGTCTTGTTCCCTACATTCAGTTTATTTTCTAACCCCTGTCTTGTTTTACAGTAATAAGTTTTCTTCTTCCTCTTGTTCTTCAGATGGCATTGGTGTGAAGCGCGATTACAAACAAGCACTCAAATTCTTCAACCTGGCCTCTCAGGCTGGCCACATCCTGGCTTTCTATAACCTGGCGCAGATGCACGCTACTGGTACAGGTGTGATGCGTTCCTGCCACACTGCAGTGGAGGTAAGTTGCTCCGGAGCTGCTGCTCCTCTCCAACCGTCATCAAAGTTCACCTTAATGGTTTAACTTGTAATTTGGAAGATGTTAACTGGAGCATCTTAATAAAAACTGTTTGATAGAAATGGTTTGTCATGCTGTTTGTCTTGATTGCAGCTTTTTAAGAACGTGTGTGAGCGTGGCCGCTGGTCAGAGCGTCTGATGACGGCCTACGGCAGCTTTAAAGAGGGCGAGACCGATTCCGCATTGGTTCAGTATCTGCTGCTGGCGGAGCAGGGTTACGAAGTAGCTCAGAGCAACGTAGCCTTCATCCTGGACCAAAGTAAGACAAGCAAGTTGTTATTTGTTTTTTTCTAGGGGATTGCGTGACTCTAACTTTGAAAGGCAATTTGAAATGTCTTGTCTCTGGATTTTAAACAGAAGGAGTGAAGATCTTCAGTGAGAATGAGACTTACCCTCGGGCTTTACTCCACTGGACAAGAGCTGCAGCACAAGGTGAGGAATTGGAGAGGTTTATTAGTTGAATGTGGCCCAAATGTGGAAGATGGCATAAAGTGAGGTCAGCTGTTGATTACCAGATAATAAACAGACTTTTGCTGGCATAGACTGAGCAGGGAGTCAAATGGTTTGTGCTGTCATATCTGTAATTATAATTAAAAACACCTTTTTAAAAACACACTTTTTACTGTATGGATCAGCAGGAATATAATGTTCAACTTGTTGAACACGTCACATGTGCCTGTTGCTTTAAGGTTACACTGTGGCTAGGATAAAACTAGGAGACTATCACTTCTACGGGTATGGAACGGATGTGGACTACGAGACCGCAGTCATTCACTACAGACTGGCATCAGAGCAGCAGAACGGAGCCCAGGCCATGTTTAACTTGGGCTACATGCACGAGAAAGGCCTGGGAATCAAACAGGCGGGTMTCTTTTTGATTATTTGAGCTTCACATTCATAAATGAATCTGTGAAAATAGTTCCTGTTTTGTTCATTTGTGTTTTCTGCAGGATATCCATTTAGCCAAGCGCTTCTATGATATGGCAGCTGAAGCCAGTCCTGATGCTCAGGTGCCGGTTTTCCTGGCCCTGTGCAAATTGGGCCTGATTTACACGCTACAGTACCTGCATGATCTCAATGTAAGTACTTCCTTGTAAATCTTATGTATGTTCCATGCACATAGTTCAATTCTACACCACAATCAAGTAACTATGTTATCTTCAGTTGTTATGAAGGTGCTGTATATCAAAAATAAATTTGATTTCACATCAGAGCCTATCTAATAGGGTTGTGTATTGGCAAGAATTTGGTGATATGATACAAACCCTGACACAAGGGTCACAATACAATATATTGTGATATTATAAGCAAGATGATAAATTGCAATATATTGACATTTTTTTCCTCCAAAATTTAAAATTTGAATAAAACAGTGCTTTATATACTTCATATTTCTCATCTTATTCACGTTTTCAATGGTTAGGCCAAATGCACCATTAAATTGTTTGATCATATATTTGTGGCAGCTTTGACTATTTAATTAATTGTAAAAAAAATGGTCTAGAGGTGGGCGGTAAATATCGCAGACAATATTATCATCCATGTTGCTTTGAAGATATGCAATTTTACATAATCGAGTATTCATACTGTCTCGAAAACACAACAAATACGGTGGTGAAGGACAGAGGCATTCGTCCCCATTTGCGAATTATTTGCCACAGAAGCCAATCAGCGTGCACGATTCAGTCATGTGACTGGGTTGGTGGCAAATAGGCATGGCCCGAATACCGGTTTCAAGGTATATCGTGATATGAAAAAGTCACGGTTTGAAAACCACTAAACTTTTCTGTCATACCGTGCCCTACGGCATGACAAAACGGAAAGCACTTTTTTTGGGGGGGGTGGGGTGGGACTCTGGTTGTTTTATGTTGCGGTCTTGTTAAAGCCACCCAATCTGTTCCAAACGGGATGCTACTTTCAACAAACCAAACAAACCCCAGAGTTTGTTAGTTGCTTTTGCTCTCCTATTCTACATTTCACAAGTTATACATGGAGAATACTACAATAACGTAAGCAAGTATAAACACCTCCATCGCTGGCAAGGATGCACGCACTCAAATGTTTTTGTAGTTTATCATATCCATAGACAGGGTTGCACATAAAATTTTTGGTCTGGTTCTCAGGGRAGAACCTAGGGTTGTTGCTTGGTGCTCATATTTTCCTTCACTCATTTAACACATTTATCTAGAGGGGCGTCAGGGCATCTAACATCCCCCTGTTCTGTTTGATGACTCCTATCAGCTGCAACCTCTCAGGGCATCATGCCAAATCAGTCCAACAAGTTTTTTATTTGATTTTTTTACTCTACATAAATTTTGTAAAGTACCTAAGTGGCCGAGGGGCTGGGTGTATGTCATATAAACATCACAAACTGAACATTTCATGGTTAAATATCTTTTAGACTACATGTCCCTCAGATGGACAGCTCCTGTTTGGTCTTCACTTCGGCCTTTGTTAAACCAGCTTTCCACGCTCTCCAGTCCAAGCAGCAAATATCTGTCTTTTGCACAGAGCAAAATAACTTAAAACATACAAATGTTTTATTTGTTAGACTGATTTCTTTTTTAAAAGACTATTTTATTCAAAAATATTATAATATTTAGATGGTTTCAGCTCATGTAATTATTTATTCTTCATATTTGATCGTTTAATAAATTACATTTATCCCAGAGCAGCTGTGTCACAGTATGGTCCTAAATATAAACAAGTTTAGCACATAAAGAACCTTGTTTTGTTTTTTTTTTTGATACAGTTGTGAACGAAATTTGTGGATCTTTATGATAAATTAAAATAACAATTAAAATCATTCATCTAGAGAACATGGCAAGTTGTTTTTATTTTTTTAATATACTTTATACTAGTGGTGTCCAAAGTCTTGCATGTTGCTGCCCTGGTTCAACATAGCTGAACCTTCGGAGTGCTTAATTAGTGGGCCTCTGCAGACCTTGATGGCAAACTGAGAGGGTAAATCATCTATTTAAATCAGCTGTGTTGAAGCAAGGACAAAACTAAAACTTGCAGGAGGCCCTTGAGTTGGACATGCCTGCTGTATACTGTATAAATTTTTTTTTGACGGGGGTGTTAAACAGAGAATCATCTTTGCTTTAATATGGGGCAAACAAATGTTCTGTAAACAGCGAATCTCACAGAAAGACTCAGYCTGCATGCGCAGCGATGCGCTCCCATCACAGAAGTCTCTCAGGAGGAGAGTTGTCACTCACACAGAGTTGGACAGATCCGTTCGAAAACAACATTCTGAACATACAGCGGGTAAAATAAGTATTGAACACGTCAACATTTTTCTCAGTAAATACTAGAGGTGCAAATGATATGAAATTTTCACCAGATGTTGGTAACAACCCAAGTGATCCATACATACAAAGAAATCAAACCATAAATGTCCAGAAATTGTTATTTGTAATAATGTGGAATGGCACAGGGGAAAAGTATTGAACACACTTACTGAAATTTATCTAATACTTTGTACAAAAGCCTTTGTTGTCAATGACAGCTTCAAGACCTGTGATGGACTTGCGACCTGTCCAGGGTGTACCCCGCCCCTCGCACTGTGACTGCTGGATATGGGC